GAGTTATACTTACCATGTTGTGCATTATATTCCTAGTAATTATTTCTCCTATAACTGGAAGTTGTACCTTTTGACTGCCTTCATGCAGTTCCCCCTCACTTTACCCCCTAGCCTCTGGTAACCACAAGTCTGATCTCTTTTTCTATGAATTTTAAACATAATCTTTTTAAAGTTTGTGTCTGGTAATTCCATTATCTAGATCTTCTATGAAAATTGTGTGTTTTTCCTTAAGTTTTAGGTCAAGTTATCTTACCCTGTCATTATTGACCTCGTTATATTTCATTGGAGAAAAATACTGCTGATTAATTAGAGGTCTTTGGCCAGAGGATTTGTGTGTTTGTTTATGGGTAGGTGGCCAAGGAGCACTAGCAGTCCCTGAGCATCTTATTCTAGTGAGGGAGTGTGAGGATTCATAGTTGGGTTTCAGCTGCTGGGAGATTTTCTCATAATTCTTTGTTTCACCTTTAATTTTATGTTACCCTTTTGTGGCAACAATCCAAAGCCTAGTAGTTTGCCAGACCATTTACCAACCTTAGAGGGCTTTTGATGCTAGTTTTTGCCTCCTTAACTCTACAGGTGTTTTAAAACCTCTGCTTAGCGTCTCAGCTTTCTTTACTGGGACCATCAGTCATCTCCAGGGGAAAAGCAGCCCTGTTACCTCTCTTTGGAGTTCAGATACATGGTTTGCTGACATTCAGCTCTCAGTCAGCTAGAAGTTCTAGCTCTTTTCCATGTGAGTTGTTAAGCTAGATCTGCTGTTCATCCTGTTGCCAATTTTGCCACAGTTTTAAATTAAATGCTGACTCTTATTACAACTTTATTTCATTTCATGTTGTTCTAGTCACCATCTGTGAATGTACATCTTTGGTTCCAGAGTTAGGCTTTGATTTTAACCATATACATTGAGGTCTTTGTCATCATTTCCTCTCCTTCAGATTTCTTTTGCTGTTTCACTTTTACCAATTGCAGATGCAATAAAATGATTGAGATTGGGAGACTCGGAGGGGAGGTGAGGTTTTAGTTACGGATGTTTGGTGTAGATAATGGCCATCTCATTGATTCTAAAGATCAGCCTGTGGATTTGTTTGACTTAGATGAAAGTGAAGAGGATGAAGATGATTTGTTGCAAAGGACTGGGAATTTCCTATCCACATCAGCCACTCTTCCTAAAGGCATCTTAAAGGTGAGAGTCAGTGAAATTGGACCTCTCTAGCTAATTAACTTTGAAATCCT